AAGGAAAAAAGTGCTTGGATACTAGAAAGTTCAATAATGTGAAGAAAGACAAGAAGTCTCGTCATATTGTTTGATTAGGCATCTAACTACTCGGAAGAAAAAGTTTGACATCTAAATAACAAATGAAGGAAAATTGGGTACCTCTGGATACATTTAACTTAAATAACTATATCAAAACTTTCCTTTAATCTTTGAATTTGCATCAGATTGATCATTATCTCTTTAATTGAAGCATCTTTTTATAATGCATGAAATTGGTCCATAAAATAACATCAACAGATAAAATGTCCATAAAATAACACAACAGATTAAATTTTTGACATATTAGTCACTTTCTACTATCACTCTACCAAAAATCTGAGTCACCACCTGCAGGTATCCAATTCTCCTATGCACTCATTACTTGTCTGTCAAAATCTTAAAAGTAATACTATTTGCATTTGATTTGGTGGTGAGAGATGAGTAATTAGGAAGAAGATGGCTAATATATATATCTGTCAAGGAAAAAAATGTGTTAAAGCTAACTGCCAGTGCTATGCTTTTTAATAATAGAATAATAAGCTAGACGGTAAGGAGAAATTATGTCACTCAAATATTTTCTCTTTATTATTGCTCTTTTCTCTTTTCCTGATTTTTGAGCTAGAAAGATGAAGTCCTAAGAAAAAAAAGTTTGAAATGTTTAAATTCCTTTCTTGTACTTTTCCTTTTTTGTTTATGAAAAAAAATATATTATTGTAAGAAGAGAGGAAACTACAAAGGTGGAGAGCAAGAAAACCTCTAAAAAGAAAAAAAGGAAGAAAGAGAGTACATCAAAATAATGAAACACTCCAATCCCTTTGCAAGACAGCCAAAGAAATTCCTAAAATGATCATGAGCCTTGGTTCAGAAAACAATAAAATGACCATTCTGTCTCAAAGGAAAGTTAGACGATTTAGGTGTCTTTGAAGAGCCTACTATTACTCTCTAACCACAATGACTGCAGACCAACTAAAATAGCACCTCTCCACAACACACCAACCGCCTTCTTCTTCCTGCCTGCCTTGAGGAAATGAAAGAGAAAATACTCAATGGAAGGGAGAACAATCCAATAAGTATCAAAAAGCAAGAGCAAAGCCTCCAACCACCTCACAATGCGAAAAGAGGTGATTAGGGGATTCTGCCACCATAAAACACATAATAAAGACATCCAAAGAAATGGAACAATTTGCTTTGTGCAGATTGTTAGTGTTGAGCCTGTTCAAAGGAGCTGTCTAAATGAAACTTTTAATCTTAGAGGAAGTTTGGTCCTTCAAAATTCACTAGTGAAAGTCTCATTGATGTTAGATGAATTATGGATCAGATGAGAAAAGAGGACTTAGGAAACCTTATTAATTTATTGATAGATATGTAATTATCTTGTACATGGATTGGCACTCCATTGGTGCGATTGTTAATAAATTTTTTATATGTTCAAAAAAAATATTAATGTCCAAAAGTACCAGCAGTCAGTGGAAGAGATAGAAAGAAGAAGCCCATTGAAGTTGAGAAATGAGAAGAAATCTTATGTCTTCTTAAGAGTAAATACTTATTCAAGATCTTTCATTACCTGCAGAAAGTTCTACAAAAGATTAATGCAAGGGGGAACTTAAGCTAATAATTGGAACTAATGATGTTCAACTCAAGAATGAAATTCAAGTGCAAATTGGTCAATACGTTGAGTTCATTATAACATAAGGATTCCACACTCGTAAAGATTACATGTTTCCGTCATGTTCGCTGCTGAAGCAAACGACCAAACAAAAAGGTGGTTACATTTTTGCTATCAAGGTTTTACATTATTTCCTACTTCAAAACTTGTTGTGAGTATGATATTGTCTAAATCTGGAAAACTTAGCTCATCTCTCTCTTGAATTTCATGTTCTGGTGCTGATAATAAGAATTTTCTACAATCATCAGTGTCTATAGGATTAGTGATAAGTTAAAAAAAACATAAGACTTTGACAAGTTCATAGGAAAAGAAAGAACAGAATTTCCGGGTTTTTGTGGAGAAGAGAGTAAAAAACGATGGAGGAAAATATTAAAGAATTTTTTGGGAATATAAAGTATATCTATATGTATCCCATGTAATCTCTTTAAATATTATGAGTATATTTGGAAGTTACTAAAACTTATTATTAATTTTCTTTCTTGCTTCAATTACTGTTTTGTAAGAGAAGCCACATATTGTTTTTCCAAAGTAATCCATATTTATCTTTTACAATTGAAGGTTCTTCAAAAGACATCATGATGCTAAACCTAGAATCAACATGTAATCCAAGCCTACACATACACTATTAGCACTAAACTTTAATTTTTTAAATAAACCATCCCTATTTAATCCACAATTAACAAGTAATTGGAATTAAGGTAATTGCAATGAAAGATAAAGGAATTGATTAAAACGCCACAATAATATTTTAATAAGTTGAAATCAATTCTCAACGCAATAAGAAAGTTGAAGAAACCTCACAAGCAGCAAGCTTAGCCATTGATTGATGATGAAAGTCGAATGAAACAGAACAAATACAAGCGGCCTATTTATAGATGCATGCCGCAAGAGTCCTAAATAGAAAAGAACATTTGATATAGGATTCTTAATTATCAATCTAACTAACAGTGCTTATCCTTAGGTGGCATAAGGACGCTTGATAAGTAACTACTTCTAGAACTCTTAGTTAAATCATAATTTCCACATGACATATTACACATTAAGGACTCTTTATTCTTTGGTTGGTCGGCCATGACTTGTGGGATAAGAAGAGTGATTGTCAAGGACTCTTTAAGAGGAGTGTTTGGTTTTGCTGATGAGTTGAAATCCAACTATGCTTTTGTAGGATAATGATTCGTTATTCTTCACATGTTCAATGTGCTTCATGAGTTTCTCCAACCCGGTCATGATAAGAGGAGTGATTGGCAAGGAGAGTGGTTGGCCGAGTGTCCAAGATTTTAAGGACTGTTAATGCTTAGCTTATGGAAGAGTTTTTGGCCAAATGTTCATGCTTTGTAGGACTCTTATTAATTAGCTTGTAAAATGTTGGCCGAATGTCCATGCTTTGTAGGACTCTTAGTGATCGGTTATGAGTTGTAGAAGATTTATTGGCTGCTTCTCCCAAAGGCTTAATGGATTCAGCCTCCATCTTTCATGGGTCTCCAAATTCGGCCCAAGCCTTTTTTTTTCATTGATCCATTCTTGAACATAAGCTTGAAAGACTCGCTTGAGTTTTTTGGCCCATGACCTTGTGACTGGTTCACTAGGCATTTTGATATTCCTCCCATGTGCTCCATGTCGATCTTGAGTTTTGTCCATGCTAGGCTTATCTCTTTATGGATGTTGCTCATCTTGAATTGGCTCTTGATTTCCTCTCATGGGGCCCAAACCGTGATCTCCTAACCTCGTGTGGCCATGATCTCCCATGTTGCTGTGAGTTCCCATCTGGCCCATTATGATTTGTGCTATCTTGATCTCCATCACATCACCAAATGTTGAAACTGCGAAACCAAGACTTGAAAGAAAAGAAAAAAATACTTTAAAGCAAAGAAGAAGGAAGCTCCTAAATTAAAACCAAACAGAGCATACTTCTATTGTGTCAAATCGGTATCAAAACCAAGACCGGAGAGAAAGAAACTCCTAATGACAATCAAAAAGAGCCTACTTTTTCTGTGACAAATTGTTATCAAAACCAAATATATAAACAGAGATAGATAGCCAGGTCTTCTTGTTCCCCTTCCTGACATTTTATTTTTATCTTCTTTTTTTCTGAAATAAGACATTTTATTTTTATCTGTAATACAATTTAGTCTTCTTTTGCTTTTTATAAGGTTAGAAACGGCTAGATGATGCATGGTGTTCTCTATTGAGGGCCCCAAATAAATTTTAAAATTTAGATTACTGTAAAAGTTTGCTTTCAATGTCCCTGTGTGAAGAACATTAATTTTGAAAAGGTTTCTGCCAGCTCTAAAAAGTTTCTTAATGTCCCAATTCACTGGATTTTTCAGATTTTGGAACTATTTGCTTGGCTATTAGAATCACAAATATTTTTCTTTTGTGGCATAGATGGATATATTGTACTATTTAATTTCAGTTGCTTATTCAGTTCAGCTATGCCCTGACCTAAGTTGAATATGGAAGGCCTTTATTCAGTTTGTCAACTCCCTTAGCCACGACACCATAGGGTCAACCTCCTTCCAACTAGTCAACTAAACTAAAGTGCACTTATCCTTAGCCTATATTTGGTCAGTTTTTTACTTTCGTAACTAACGATTGTAATGCAAGTTTGCATGAAAATTTGATGGGGAAACTTGGTTCCACAGTAGATTCTGGCACTGAAAAATCTAGCATTACATCAATCTGATAATGATGTACTAGTTATTTTCTGTTTTCATATGTGTTATGTTTGGTACAGGGTCACTCTTGCTGATCAGTCAACTTATGATGCAAAGGTTGTTGGATTTGACCAAGACAAGGATGTTGCTGTATTGCGTGTTGATGCTCCTAAAGACAAATTAAGACCTATACCTATTGGTGTGTCTGCAGATTTGCTTGTTGGTCAGAAAGTATATGCAATTGGCAATCCTGTGAGTAAAATTTATATTCTCAGAATGATGTGCATTATTGAATAGTTGCATCTTAACTGTTGTACCATATGCAGGCAAGAACATATTTACTGAACTTCGAATGCTATTGGTTCTGGTTTATTAGTAAAACCATTTTAATTGAAGATGATCATCTGTTTATTTTTCATGTTCTTTTGCAGTTTGGACTCGATCACACTCTTACAACTGGTGTCATAAGGTTCAAAAAGTTTCCTTTACATTTTTGGCTTTGTTTGCAATTTCACTTCAGCACTTGTCTGCATGTCGTCTCTTCTAATCTCCAGTATGGCTGTTCTATTTACTACCAATGACTGCCCAGCCAATTTATGGCCATAACTTAGAGGTTAAAGAATTTTAGCTATAATATACTTTAAAATCAAAACTTTGAAGAACAGTCCTTTTTCCTGTTAGGTGAAGCCTTCTTCGTCATGATTTAACCCGAAACACTTCAGCCATTACCACCACTGTGAAAGAAATTGAAAAATGTTTACTTCTATTCTTTCTTTTCTTGTAACTCAAACGTCTCCGACAACATCCTATAAGTTATATTCACTAGCTACTGAGAACATAAAAAACTAGAAGGTTTGCAGGTCTTACATATAAAGAAACACCTAATGGACATAATCTATTGTTCAGAAGAGGAGCTTATATCAGTAATGAACACCAATGCCATTTTGTATGGCTGGTTAATACTGAACATGGAAAGAAATTTCCTGATATGCAGAGATTCATTTTGTTAATTTTCTTTTCTTGTTATCA